GGGAGCGGAGGAGGACGAGGGGAGGGGGAGGGAGGAGAGGGTGGACGTGCCACTCTGCCCCTTCTTTTTTTCGGGGTGGCTCCGTGGACGGCCCTCGCCGTCACCAGCCTGCGACGCTTGCCCCATGAATGCCTGGCGCGAGGTCGACGACGACGACGGCGACGACGACGGCGACGACGACGGCGACGACGACGGCGACGACGACGGCGACGGCGACGACGACAACGACGACGACGACGAGCCAGGCGCTGTGTTTCCGGAGCCCGCCCACGGCCTGGCTCCCCGCCCGCCCTTGCGACGTCAAGATGCTTACTGGACATTGCGGTGGCAGGCGCGAGTGGTTGAATAATCAGTGGCGAGAGTGGTCGAAACAAGAATCGGGTCGACCCGAAAGGAGGTCCAGCGACACGGGGGGTGGTGCAATATATCTGGTGCAGTAGATTTGTGGGGTTGCAGTTCATTTGGGGCGTGAAATACATGTCGGGTCGCAAATGATTTGCTTGATTTTTGCGTGCAATATATTAGCTGCAATACAATGCAATACATGTCTCCGTCGCAGTTCATTTGCAATACAAGTGCCCCAAATCTATCGCACCACCCCACTTCAGCTGGACCCCTTTTGGGTCACCCAAAACTGCGGTGGCAGGCGAAATGGAGTTGAATAATCAATGGCGGGAGTGGTCGAATCAAGAAGGAGGAGACATCCGGGGCCTGGCGACGAAGTCCGATCGCCTCCCCCTCGCCTCCCGTTGGTTTGGACAGGCAGGGGTTCATCGTCGGAGTGCCACTTCGCTCGCGTCCGCCCGCAACGCCTGGGCACCCCGTGGTATCCTGGCCCAGCCCAGGACTTGGACCGGCAGGGGCAGTGTTCACATGTTGCTGCTCTGGGGGGGCAGTTTTGAGGGGCGAGGATACCGGCCGTCTGCGCACGACGGCCCTGGCCACTGGCCAGTCCCGGGAATCGGTGGATACGCCTTCCCCTCGGATTTGTCGTTGCGAAACAAGTCGGTTCAGCGGGAGAGGTAAGGAAGTCTTGGAGCGAATCAAAGACGCACACGTACGTGAATTCACAGGGCTTCGAGAGAGCGCGTTACGCGAGCGTTCGTGAGAGGAGGGCGGCCTCGTGAACTGGGGGGTTCGTCCAATTCAAGGGAGACATGGGCGCCTACGCCTCCTTCCAGGTCCCCGGAAGGCAAGGGAGGGCGGCAGAAGGCAGGCAGGAGGGAAAGGGGGGGGGAAGGAGGCAGGGCGGGGATCATGGTCTGCTTGTGCTGTGGCTTGGATCGTGTCTCAAGCGAAAAGATCGGGGGCTATGCGTCGGGCCGGGCGAAAGGGGGGGATTGGGAAAGAGGAGGTTACGAAATTTGCTGCATGCAGCATGTTTCGGCTTCACCGAGGGGCCCATTCCTCGATACATAGCCGCCTCCGGCGCCGGGAGGCGCCGGGAAAATCAGCTACGTGAGCTGATTCTCAACCCCCCCTTTGCTATCCCCCCCTTTCGCCCGACCCGAATGCGTTTTGTCTCCAGGGGTCCCTTCGGGCTGCATTGCCGACGGTGCGGCATCGAGTGGGCTTCGTCGGCGGTGTGACATGAGGCACAGCGGAGAGATGCAGTGCACAGAGATAGTATTAAGTCGGGCCTGTCTCCTCTACAGGGGTAAGATTCGTCCAAAATCCGCCTCTAGGGGGACACGCCCGACCTGAATATAGTAGGAGGCAGGGGAGAGGGAGGGGGTAGTTCGGGAGACCGTGGGAGAGCTTCGCGCTGTCGCTGTGAGGATCATGGGCCAGCTTGTTCAAGGACTGGCGCGCGCGCGCGTCGCGAGGTAGGCCGCCACGTTGTTGTTTGTTGCTACGGCGGCGGCGGAGGAGGAGGAGGACGGGAAGGAGGAGGGGGGGGAGGAGGAAGAAGAAGAGGCCAAACTATATAATCAACCCGGGAAGAGCAGGAGGGCGACAACGATGCAGAACGCACCTTTCCGACCCATTGCCACCTCCCAAAGAGACCCCTCATGATAGGAGACCTCAGAGTTGGCCTGCTGTTCAGGCGATTGCTCCGTTTTGGAAGTGATCCGTTCCGCACCGTTGTGGCGAATGGGGCGTCTGCAGGTGTATCATGATGTCATGGGCACCTCGAGCCTTGGCCCCATGTAGACATGAAGCCGCCATGAGCCCTGCGTCATTGTATCGTAGTTTGCTTTTTGTTTATACTGTAGGCGTTGCCACTTTCGGCACCGTATTTAATGATAGCCCTTCGTTGAACAGATTCCGTGCCACGATCGTTAAATCTAAGCCGCGACCCATCCGTGAAGCGATCACAAACAGTTCAGTTAATTATTCGCGGCGCTTGGTCGGCAGCCACGTGTTGAAAACCACCCGCCCTTCCCTCTTGTAGCTTTCGCATTGTTCGTGCCGAGTGCGCTCGATGTGAGGGCGTCGACCAGCATCTGTGTAGCCGTCCGAATCTTGATACGTCAGGATCACGGGGCGCGAGGACGTCTCAGGCGAAACGCTTGGCCTGCCCTACCAACACGCCTGGGGGGGCGGGCGACGGTGAGCAGCTGCTGATCAGGAGAAGGGACGGGAGGGGCGGCAGGGTGACAAGCAGACGAGGGCTGGCACACTGGGCGCGCAGGCGGTCACAGGGCCCGCCGAGCTGGGGCGCCCCTCAGCCACGCGCAGAAGGGGGGTGGGGTGAGGGGGGAGGGCTTCTCAGAAGCACCCCTGCTTCTGAGAAGGCGCGGGCCTTCTCTAGAGGTGTGAGGCCGGCGCCTTCTAAGAAGCAGCTTCCCTCTTAGAAGCCCTCCCCCCTCCCTCCACCCCCTGGTGCGCGCCGCCAAGCCCAGGGAGGTCCCAGGGAGCCCCCTCGTGTCGTCGCCTGGGCTGCTGGACGGGGAGCGCGGGGGGGGGAAGAGCCAGACCACAGCGCCCGCCCGTCGCGTGGTCGGAGTCCGGGGCCGCAGTGGGCGGCGTGCGGTCGCAGCGACGCGTGAGGTGGAGATCGCTGGGCCGCGGCGCCCAGTTTCCCGGGCATCTTTCGTCGGCGGCGAGGCGGCGAGATCCGCTCCAGCGAGAGGTGAGATGTGGGGCACCCACTGGCGAGTTGGCCGGCGAGCAGAGGGGGAAGGGGGGGGGGGCCGCGAGGAAGGAGGGAGGCGCTCCGGCGCCGAAGTGAGCTCGACGAAATAGCAGCCGGGCGGGCAGCAGAGGCCAGGCGCGCAGGGCCAGAGCGCGACGGGCGGCCGTGGCGAACCGCGGCGGCAAGGGTGGCGTGGCCTAGGCATCGCTCGGACGTGTACATTTTTCCTTCGGCGAGGACCATTGAGGAGCATCCTTGATCATGTGGCGAAAAAACCACGCACGAAACCGAAACAAACACAGGGAATGGACGTCCGAGCGACGGGGAGTGGCGGGGCTGGGGGAGCACCGTGCACCACCGCGAAAGCCGTGCCGCGGCGCCCCGAGGAGAAGGCACAGCACCGAGTCAGTGTCCCGGACGTGGGGCGTCCTGCTTTTTCCAGTACCGGCCGGGGTCCCCGGAAGTCCCGACCCAGAAGACGCATTCCTCAAGCAAGCTCACGGGGGGGTGAGGGGGTTGTATTCCCAGAGCAGCGCTTGCACCGCTGAGGGGTTGATGCTGATGCCACGTCGCCCCCCCAGGCCCCCGACGTCGTGTCTTTATCCACGACGTCGACCCCCAGATGTCTCGACCCTTTCCCCGGGACTGGTGCTTTATCCTGAGCCGTTCTTTGACGCCCCGAGGCCCGGGAGGGGCCCCCGGAGGCCGACGATAGCGACAGGCCTCCAGTCGTGATTTTTGCTCAGGACGCGAGGGGGTCCTGGGTCCGCAGCCATGGCTCCCCAACAGGGCCCCCAGAACGATGCTGGCCATCCGGCGAGATCTGGCAGCATGCGAGCATGCGAGCATGCGGTCAGGCTCCCGGCCGAGGCTTCCTGGCAATTTTTGTTGTTCCTCGCGGGCGCCTCGTCGCCGGCTCGTCGCTGGCTCCGGCAGTTCCGCGTCGCCGCCAGGCTTTCGCAGCCATGTCGCCGCCTTGCGCGCTGGCCGCATACCTGCTGGGCGTTTGCACCGCGTAGCTTCCGACCAAGAACAAAAACTCCATAAACGTAAACTTTTGGCGCTCCGCGCGGATTTCTTGGATCCGCGCTGGGCCCCCCTGGCGGCGCCTCGGGCACCGCCCTTTGCGCGCTCCGCCCGCCAGGGAGGGGGATCCAGCGCGGATCCCAGAAATCCGCGAGGGGCTCCAAAAGATGGTGTTTAGGCAGTTGTTTCTTTGTCTATCTTGCGGCGCATAGGTTGTGCCACTTAGTTTGCGCCGCAACCGGGTAGATCCCAGCACATCCAGAGTGAAGAAGCTCATTATTTGGGGTCCACGCTGGCAATATTGTGGCGTCGTGTCGATTCAAAGGTCCGTAGGTCTCCTGAACCCCCTGGTCGACCCTGGCTGGGAGACGAACCACAGAGGCAGTATTACGCATGCTCTTCTTATTTGTTTTATCGTTCTACCGGTTCGTATTCATACTCGCGTTGTGAGCAATGAGCATGCTCAAGATTCGACCACCACCACCACCATCACCACCACCACCACCACCACCACCACCACCACCACCACCACCACCCCAGACGGCCTAGCTACGGCCCAGGGCCCAGGATCCAAGGCGGCCGATGGCAGGCCCAGGGCTCCAAATCACTCAAGGGTCCCACGGCGACCTCGAAGCCCCCTTTTCGTTGCCGAGTTAGGCTCGAGGAGTCTCAAGGTGCGTGTGAAACGTCGTCCAAGTGCGAGCGGACGTTCAGTTATGGATATTTCCCGTGAGCCTCGAGCTTTGCAAAGAGATGAAGTAGTAGTGAGTCGGGGGCGCAACAAGTGTTTGCCTGCCCCTCGAGCATCATTGAGTTTATGATGATGGGACATGCGCGGCACACGATTTTGTGCACTTCTATGTGTGTGTGTGTGCTTGTGCCTGGAGGTGTCCGTAGACATGTTGGCTCAAACATCCCGCCGCATTTTGAGGGCTGACGGCCACTCCACGGCACTCGCGCGCCGATGGCGCCGCCGCGGGTGGCCGTGACCGGGGCGCTGAGCTACACCGGCCGCTACCTGACGCGGTTGCTGTTGGACGAGGGCGCCTCGGTGGTGAACCTGTCGGGGCGGGCACGCCCCATCGCGGCGCACAACCTGCCCGCCCAGGACGTCGCGCGCGTGGAGGCACGCCCGCTCGCCTTCTCGGAGCCCGCGCGCCTGGAGCGGGCCCTCCGCGGCTGCGACGTGCTGTACTGCACTTACTGGATTCGCTTCGCCGTGGGCGGCGACACCCACGCCGCGGCTGCAGAGCGCTGCCGGACGCTGTTCGAGGCTGCAGCGAAGGCGGGCGTTCAGAAGGTGGTGTTCTCGTCGCACACGCGCGCCGCAGAGGACTCCCCTTTCGCGTACATCGCAGGGAAGGCCAGCGCCGTGGGCGCGCTGCGCAAGCTGTCTGCCTCCAGCGGCATGGGCTACGCCGTCGTGCGCCCCTGCGGCATCTTCGGCGACACTGCCGACGAGTCCGTGCTCATGAACAACGCGGCGTGGGTGTTGCGCCGCGTCCCGCTCTTCCTGCTCGCCGGCGGCGGCCAGCACCGCTTCCAGCCGGTGCACGTGCGGGACATGGCGGAGCTGATGGCAGATTTGGGCCACCGCTCCCCGCATACCAGCGGCGAGGAGCGCGACGCGTGCGGGCCTGACGCTCCCACGGCGAGGGAGCTCTTTCGGTCGATCGCGCGCGCTTGCGGCTCCAGAGCGCTGGTGGTGCCGTCGGGACTCTCCACGGGGGTCATCACGGCGCTCAGCAGGCCCATTAACTGGGCGACAGGGGACGTCTTGCTGGACGGTGATGACCTCGACCTCCTGTGCAGCGGGCTCACGCTGGCCGACGAGCCCGAGGACCCGGCGATCGCGAGGCGTCGCAGCCTGCTCGGCTGGCTGGCGGAGGTCGGCCCCAGCCTGGGCGCCGCGTACGTGTCCTCGATGGCGCGGTACTACTCGGTGTCGGCGGGCGGGTCGTGAGCAGAAGCTCAGGCTGCTCTTGGACCACAGCGTTGCCTCGGGTGGCGCTGGGCGCGGATGGAGCGGGGCGCGGTGAGGACGCATTCACGCCCTCACGTGCCTCGGGCACGCGTCCTCCGTGGACCTCGGATGGGATAGATACCTGGCGCCTTCGGGCTGGCGCTGGGGCAATACAGCTGCGAAGCAGGGACTCCGCGCACCACTGCTCTTCCCCGCTCTTTCGCTTTTGCCTCCCGTTTGACCTCCTGGTGTTCCAGTTCGGGTTGATGGCAACAGCGGCTGGGGATGGGTCGTGGGTCGTTCCGTATCGGCAGAAGTTGTGTACGAGGATGCGTACGTGCGTCTGTGCACATGCGCATGAGAAGAGCTGCGCCCACAGGTATCCGCGGGCAGGCACCATTTGTACATCAACGCGCCCTCGGAGTGCCTGTCAATTCGGTTCAGCTTGCGCCATCGCCCTGCCGCACGTCTACCGCAGCGTAGCTTGGTAGACACGGGTCGCCTTCTTCGGAGAAGACGCGACGCGATAGGCAAATGCGGCATGCATTGGTTGCAAGACGGGGTTTGGTCTGATCATGCTGTCACGATAGCAGCGAGGATTGGGCCACTGGGCACTTCAACCTGCAACCCCTCAGTCTAAGCTTATGAAGTTTTGGCTCTGGCCGAGTTTAACATTCTCATTGACAGGATTGAAATATCAGGTGGTGTTGTGGGCCTGAGACCTCTTGGACGGGCACCGCATTGGCATCAATAAACGCTCCAGGCTAGACAATTCAAGTGTTTTCCGAATTCTCAGGTGCTTTTCATATGCGTTGGCTTTATTGCCATCGCGTTCTCCAGCTCGCTCTGAAAATGCCTTGACTGTCTTGTATTCCACACGTGCCCGTCTGACAGCAGGGCAGCAAGGGCTGTTGGCTGGATCGGAGAATCGAACGCGCACAGTGCTGGTGCAAGCAAGTTTGTCCCAACGTCACTTTAACACATGCTTGCCAGCGTGGGAACCAACAGTCGATTCTTGTTCTATGTGGTGGAATCTAGCTTGGTGCAAACGACCTGTCAGGACAGCCCGCGGAATCATCCTATCTTCCCACCCGCAACTGGGTTTGCAAAACCCATACGGTGGCGATTGCGGTGATTGCTTGGCCATGGCTGGCGCACCACTGCGGCCGCGCTGGCGCGCGCAAGCACGTGCGTAGAGCAGCTAGCTGGTATGGCGCAACCGATGTGGCCGCGATGGCGCCTATCGATGGCAGCGCCCCAGCCCGCGTCAAAGGCCGCGCTGCCGCGCGGGCAGATCAATGCGGTTCGATGGCTCGGATCGGCGCGGCATCATCATAACGTCGACAAAGGCGTCAACGATGATGATAGTAGCGATGGTGGTGGCGGTGAGGCGATGACGGCCGCAAGGCCAATGACGGCGCCGATGCTGGTGACGCCGGTGGCGGTGATGGCGTCCATGCGTTGGTGATGCGGTGATAGAGTGGTGATTGCGGCAATTGCGGCGCGACGATTGACGATGACGGTGGCGTGGTGCGGCGGCACTGGTGAGGGCTATGGTGAACAATTGCGCGCGCGAGGAGATCCCAGAATCCTGGCAAAGCCTGTTGAACCAAGAACATGTTTTATGCATACTCGGCTGAATTGCTCCATTACGGCATGTTGCGGGAACCTCGGGTTCTGGACGGAGGTCGCCTTGCTCGCGTGGCGGCGCGCGCAACGTGGCCCGCAGGGCAGCATGCGGTGGGGGCGGGCGCGCCCGGGCGCATGCCGGGCCGACGCGGGTGCACCGAGCTGCAGTGCGAGATGGGAGTGCGGCTTCCCAGGCGCGGGCAGAGCAGTTGCAACATGTTTCAGAGGAGGAAGCGGTACCCATACCTCTACCCCTCGCCCGTTTTGCCTTTTTTAGGGCCTCCTCGGAAGCCCTCGTCGCCACCGCTGGATTCGCCTCGAAGTCCTGGTCAGAACGCACCCCGGGAGAGGTCCGGGGAGTAGCGGTATCAGTACCTTTTGGTTTCCCCAATGTTGGTGGTCTTCCCCCGCATCCTACAAGGGATGTCTGTTGTCTTCGGACGCCCCCGCGCAGGACATATCCCCTCACGCTCTCTTCCTGTGTTCCGCCTCACGCCCATCATCACCGTCACACAACCATCGCCATCACCGCCACCATCCCGTCACTGTAATCGGCCATCATCATCACCACGCCATGTGCTTCACATCCCCAATCACCACCCTCATTCTACCACCGCCATCGCCATCACCATCCGTTCATGGTCGCCAGTCATCAGGATCATCGATCGTGGTCTCGAGCGGGAGCCCCGTCTGTGAGCGAATCGCGAGAAGTCTCGAGCGAGAGCTCCCCCCTCGATGGGGGCTGCGCGTCACGCTACTAATCCTTGGAGATCGTCCGAAGATTGAAATTGTGGTTACTTTTCGGCCCCCCGACGCTTGCTTCAGGAAGCCGCAGGCGGGGACCTTGTTTTCTGAGTGATTAGAAAGGAAGCTTCAGGCGGGAACCCATCCCCATGGGGCCCGGATTTCATGCTATTCGTCCGGACAGGTCAACAAAAACCTGCAACGGTCACCACTTCTGGGCCCAGGGGATTTGAATCTTCAGGAAGTTTCAGGCGGGGGCCCTGTCTGTGACCGACTTGCGCGAAAGTCTCAGGTGGGAGCCCCTCCCTTTCTGGTGCCCGCACTTCATGTTTTTGTTTAATCCCACGGGGTCACTCGAAACTTGTATCTGTCGTCACGTTTGAGTTCCCGAGGCTTGAACCTGCAGAAAGTCTCAGGCAGGGGCATTGTCTGTGAGAGTGACTTGTGAGGAAGTCTCGAGCGGGAGCCCTTTCCTTATATGGCCCGCACCTCGCGTTTTTAATCCCAGGGGGGGCGATAATTGGACTTGATGTCTTTTTTGAGCTCCTGAGGATTGAATACAGAGGAAGTATTTAACGGGAGCGTCGTCCGTGAGTGAGTTGTGAACAAGTGTCTGTCGAACAAACCGCATTCCACGTATTTGCATTCCAGTGGTTCATGTGAAAACCTGCAGCACACGTATCGTTGGGGCCCCCGAGGCTTCAATGTTGAGAAAGACTTACGCGGGGACCTGGTCTGTGTGTGAGTGACTTGCGCAGAAAGCTCATGCGGGAGCACCTCCCCTCTAGTGCCCAGCGAGGAGGAGGAGGAGGCGGAGGCGGAGCTGGTATAGTATGGATGGGACGGAACTCTCAGACAAACAAAGATGATGCCTATGTGCCTATGTAGGGTCTTACCGTCGGAATAATTGAAGGATTTGGGAGTCGTCGCCTTTTCGGTTTCCCGACGCTCCAAGACGGCCCAAGATCGCTCCGAGACAGCCCAAGAGGCCTCCAAGAGGGTTCAAGAGGACCCCAAGACGGCCCAAGAGGCGCTCGACCAAGTCGGCCCAGGAGGTCCCCAAGACGGGCCCAAGACGGGGACCGGATGGGGGAGAGGCCCCCAAGAGGCCCCCAGGAAGTCGGTCGCAAGAGGCCCCGAAGAGGTTCACAAGACGCCCCAAAACTGCTCCCAAGAGGCCCCCGAGTGCGTTCCGAAGACACCCGAAGAAGCATCCCTGAGAACTCTGACCCGGGCACCAACGCTGTGGTCTCACAGCAGCTTCCGTCTGTGGCTGTGCGTTCTCCCATCCTGCCCCTCTGCCCATGCATCACACTGAGAAAACAGACCGTTCCAGGGACTCGCGCTTGCCAATGTAATGATAGCCACGGGCCCAATATTGCCTGGTGCCCCTCACACCACTCGACAGCTAAGAAAAACACACTTCTCACGAATCCTCTGCTGCAGCAGCGGCACTGTGCGACGATGCTCTCGCGCTTCGTCTCCGCCCACGCGGCGAGCCTGAGCGTCAAGAACACGTTCATCGAGGTCACGGAGTCCGAGGACGCGGTCAGCGAGGGGCTGCGCCGCGTCAGCTCGTGCCCCTCGCTGCACAGCCCGGGCGACGGCTCCAACGAGGCCGCCTGCAGCCAGGACTCCAAACCACAGCTCTTGACGCTGTGCGTACCCCGACCAGCCCGTCCAGACGTATTGTCAGGCGAGTCGTGGTGAGCAGGGAGGCGAAGGAGCAGACGTGAGACGAGGCGAGCCAGACCCGATCAGGTATCGGCGGAAAAACGGTCCCCAGAATCTGCAAACATGTGCCCATCAGATGAGCCTCTTGGAGTCATCTTGACCTCGTCTTGGAATTCTCGTTGGAAGCCCTTGGCGTCATCTTAGGTGTTCTCTTGCGGCAATACGTGGGGCCTTTTGGGCCTTCTTACAGCATGTGCCGGAGACCCCTAACCAAGCGATAAGTGGTTAAATGTCTGTCCCTGAAGAAGTTTCAAGAATTGCCTCTTGGGGCCACCCTGCTTGGGCGCTCTTGTACCAGACTGGGGACTTAGAAGGAACGGAGACTTGTCGGAGACGGCAACATCGGAGACTGAGGTTTCTTTGTGGTTCTGGCTTTCCGGGGGGTACTTCAGAGCCATCATGGGATCATGGGGTCTTCGCGGGGCGTTTCTGGGCGCGACCAACTTGTGCCATCTTGCGCCATTTGTGGCAGAACTCTGGGGTATCTAAGGCCATGGAAACAGACGCCATGGAGCCTTCTAGGGCAGCTTTGGACGATTTTCCTGATCGCGCCCGGCCTCCCTTCAGAACCCAGGGAGGGAGCAGAGGGAGGTGTGAATCCTGCCCCGAAGGAAAAGTCGGTGCTGTTTCTGGATTAGCCGATCCGCGCCGATCCGCTAGTTCTCCGCGCCCAGCGGGTCGTACCATTTTCATTCCTCCCCGCGTTCGACCTCGTTTTTAGGATGAGGGGACGGGGAGTGTAATTGCAATCAATGGTTGGTTCCTGCGAGGAAGCGAAGGCACGATCGCAACCAACAAGTCCGACCAGTGAGGCCAAGAATCTCCAGGACATTCAGAATGAATACATGATCAGTGGCTTTCTTCAGCATGATGGAGGCCTGTCAGGCGGTGCTTCGACAGCCCCACATAATGAAGGGAAGTGGCATTCAATGGCAGTGCCAATGGACAGATTGCCTTCAGTGGCAGCAGGGCCTTGGTGGAAGACGTCGGCAACCGTACGTGCGCCTCTCGACAGCAAGGCTGCCCTGTTCGTCCCCGGGTTCGTCCCATCTGCGTTGCGCACTGGGAGCGCTTGCCAGCAGAACTCGCACTCCATGGAGCATGGCCTGGGCCTGGGCACCCCACGCTTGTCGGAGAATCGCGCGGGGGATACAACAGCGATGATGCGCAATGTGCCCTGCAGCTTCTCGCGCAGAAGTCTGATCCAGCTCTTGGACAACAATGGCTTCCGTGGAAAGTATGATTTCATCTACATGCCCATGGACTTCAAGAGGGGACTGTGCATTGGATATGCTTTTGTTAATATGACCACCCCAGACCACATGCAAAGCTTCATTAAAGTCTTTGACGGCTTCAACTTCAGGGCGACGCAGTACAAGTCATCGAAGGTTTGCGCCGTCTCTCCGTCCAAGACGCAAGGTCTCAGTGCCAATATCGAGCGGTATCAGAACAGCCCCCTGATGAGCGACGAGGTGCCCGACGGCTACAAGCCCGTTCTCTTCGGTACCAGGGGGCGGATACCGTTCCCCAAGCCCACGAAGGTGGTGCCGCACATCCAGCACAGGAGCTAGTCAGGCCCAGCGTGTCGGGTCGGGCCGGGGGGGGGGGGGTCCGAGGACCTCGGCCCCGCAATCGCTTACCAGGCAGCTATGAGAGCCGCCGTTATAAAGAGCACAGGCAGCTGCCATCAGCGTCGTCATCAGCGCGTCGCCTACATATGCCGCTCCGTGCAGCTAGTGCTCCGCAGCCTGCCCCGAGGGCGGTCGCCCACGAGTGTCTCGGCTCTGGCCACTGCGCCACTGGATGTACTCCTGGTCCTCCTGGCAGCATCTGGAGCGAGCCCTTCCCCTGGGCACCGCTGCCGCTGCTGCCTGCAGAGGGCTCTCGCCTCCATGTATACTGCATTGGCAGATTGCCCCCATCCGATGACGAGGGATGGGAGAGGAGAGGTGGTGGGAATGCACCGCCACGGACGCCACGGGGAAAGGGCGGCACTGGTGTGGGGAGTGGAGTGGCCTCCTCCTCCTCCCCCTCCCCCCCTCCTCCCCCTCCTCCCTCCTCCTCCTCCTCCTCCTCCTCCTCCTCCTCCTCCTCATCTCCTCCTCCTCCTCCTCCTCATCCTCCTCCTCCTCCCTCCTCCTCCTCCTCCTCCTCCTCCTCCTCCTCCTCCTCCTCCTCCTCCTCCTCCTCCTCCTCCTCCTCCTCCTCCTCCTCCTCCTCCTCCTCCTCCTCCTCCTCCTCCTCCTCCTCCTCCTCCTCCTCCTCCTCCTCCCCTCCTCCTCCTCCTCCTCCTCCTCCTCCTCCTTTTCCTCCGCCTCCTCCTCC